ATTTTCTCACTTTCTTATTGTTTTTCCCCCTGCTGCTGACGCCGCCGCATCGCTGAAAACCATCATCGGATGGTGGAAATGCGGATCGGCACGCATAAATGATTATAAATAACTTAAAACCGATAGCGAAGAAAGAGATCTACGGTTAAACGGTCGCTCGTAAATCAATCCGCGAGTCATTAATTTATACGGGTACACCGGTCGATCGCTGTGGGGAATCAAGTTCGCAAAAAAAAAAAAAAAATGTATATATAGGGAAAAACAGAGGGAGGCAGAAGCACCCATTAATTATTCTTCTATCGAAACGTCGTTGCAAAAACATGTTTCCCCTCTCTTGGGGAGGAAAATTTGCTGTACACTCCCGCGCGTTAAATACAGCGTTCATTGCTTATTCATACGAAACAAAAGAACTACCTCTGTTTACGGGAAGATTCGTGAAAAAAATTCAGCAATTTTAAGATTGTCAGCGAACACCGCTCTTCGTTCAAAAATCAAAGGATGTAAATACTTATGAGACCTATATCGCTGTCAAGGAGCAATTCTTTTCCGAATTTATTTTTTGAAATATAAACATGTTAGATCAATGCGCTAAAATATTCAAAAATAGTGGAAAGTTCGAATGAAGGAATTTTCTATTCAAAAGTAGTCCATCGCGAAGAACATAGTTTTTAGAATCACGAGTGAACGACACTCACGAATATTTTTTACCAATTTTGAAGGTTACTGGCAAGCATTCGTCTCGCGTGATTTCAGCTTTAAAAACTTGTCGTTTTGCACGAGGAATATTCCCGTGGCAGAGACGTTGTATAATAATTCTCGTGGTTTTTCCAGGTTGAGACAAGACAAGGGCGGCGGCGCTTGGTGCCCGAAAAATATGGTCACGAAGGAGGGCAAGGAGTACCTCGAGATGAATCTGCATAGTCCGCGTATACTAACGTCGACCAGAACCCAGGGCAGGTTCGGGAACGGCCACGGGGTCGAGTACACCGAAGAGTACTTCGTCGAATATTGGCGACCGGGGTTCAACAAGTGGGTGCGATGGAGAAATCGACGTGGCATGGAGGTACGTACACACTACCTTCTGGCTGCTCGCCTGCCGATCGATTCGAAAGCGTTCGTACTCTCTTTTTTACGTTTCTCTCTCTCTCTCTCTCTTTTTCTCTTTTTCTACGTTTTCTTCCTGCCTCGAACTCGCGACCATTCGACTGTCTCTTTTATCGTCGTTAAAGAACACGACGTTCTAGGAAACGCGCGGAATCCATTTGAAATTTATCGAATCGATTACGCGTTCGGTTGCGCTCGCAACGATGTCTCGTCATGCAATCTTGCTGGTATGTTGATTTTGAAGAGTTTGTTTGTAGGAAGGAGATTGTATTGGGAAAGGTTTTAAATGATTTTCGAATAACTGATCAAATACTATGACTAGAACTGATTTTTAATTAACACCCATTTGACTTCTCCTGTAAATATCATCGTACCAAATTCCTTTTTCTTTTCATGTAATTGATGACAATTTGTCATCAGATTTAAAATTCGAGGAAACGACATTTCACGTGCATGAATCTAATATAAAAAAGCAAGCGCGCGTTTGCATTGAGATAGGAAAATAAAAGGCGCGCAAGTAGTAATGAATCGCCTATAGTCAGACGCTTCTCGGCCGCTCACGCAGACGCTATATCTTCCAGCAACTTTTAATACGTGCATCATCTGGAAGTTACTTTGCGAAAAAAATTATTCAGGTCAACTTTGAAACTACGCTGAAACTTTATAAGCACTATTACTTAAAATTTGTTTAATGCCCCTTGACTAACTCTTTTAGGGGTGATTAAAGATATTACCGAGCGAGCGCTGGTTTCTCACAATCTTTACCAAGAAATCACGTTAATCGTAAGTGTGTCAAGAACTTATAACGTAGTCAAGCAGACAGCTTATATTTCCAAGCATAATTTCTCCGCTCGAAATCCAATCGGTGGCAGTTTATGGAAGTAAATTTTAAAATATGGAATATCTTATTTTAAATGTTTAATACATATCAATATTTTTGCAATATATATATTTTACAAAATTGACAAATAACTTGTAGAATAATAATAATACTTGTAGAACCGATGCAGTTTCAAAGAATCGAATGCGAAACTGATATAGGTTAGAGACAACGTGATGATCTATAATACAACATTATTTTCGCTTTTGTAACTTCTTCAAGAATCGATATTGAGGACTAACATTTAAGTAAGATCTTCGGCATTGAAATCTTTAGTTTGCAGTTGTATTTCCAATTTCAATTCTAATAACAATGCTGTTGAACTTTCGAAACAATAACCCCTTCTCTGTGTACGTATCTCTCAGCCATTGTCAGTCAAGTAATCACACACTTTCGCGAAGCTCGTGACTATCAAGCTCGATCTCTTTTCTCATTCACCGCAGACGAGGATCGTGCCCGACAGATTTTTATACGAACGACCAATTATAAAGCAATTTTGCGGCGAGAGGCAGCCGTGCCGACAGAATTAATGCAGTGCCACTCTTTATAATTGCTCTCGTCAAGAAAATCGGA